CGGCCGCGGGCGCGGGGGCGGATAGGTTTATAATTCCCAACTGCTTCTGGCTGTGAGGACATGGAAACCCCCCCCGATGCCGATCAGAGGCGTAGAGGTTAATCGTGATCACGAGCGTGTTCCTCCGGAGTGAGACTTTTGCGATTATTCCTAATGTGAATAACTCGTCTGTGTAAATTTTGATAACCGGGAATAGCGTTTGCGCCGTCCCTACTTAAATAATAAATATGCGAACAAAATACGAGACAAAAAATATTATTTTTAATTTACTTTTAATATTGCTAGTGGGCTACTTTTAATATTACTTTCGGCTTGTTAATGATATTAAAAACATATCGTAAAAGATAGCATAAAAGGCTCGCAAAAGATATTATAAAAGGTCCGCAAACGATACCTTCTTCGAGCTACCGAAAACGAAACTTTCACTGCCACAAAGTAAGCGACTAGTGATTCATTTTATTATCGTTTTTGGATCTAAATTCGATAGTTTTACCCGCTTGAGTTTCGCGTAACTCACGTTTGCGATATCGTTTACGAAGTTTTGGTCCACTGGGTGATGTGTCTTTTGCATGTAGTTACGAAGAACGGCTATTGATTGCGTCAGCCGATATTTACAAAAACTTAGAATAGTTTTCGTATTAATTCCAACACACCTCCTCAAAAGACACAAAAAAAATCAAAAATATAATTCAAACAAAATAACTATCCAATTAGTACTTATAAATCATAAACGTTCTAATTGACAAGCCGAGCACTCTGGGGAATACAATTGAGATCCAACATTTGTTGCAAGGATTGGGGAAACCCAGTAAAACCCAATCAGATCATCTTCTTATATATATAAATATTACGTTAAATGAAACAATAACACTACTCGACAAAATCGAACTTTTTTTGTCCTCAAGGATCCAAACCGACTTTTTTTGATAGATATGGAGATTTTAAAGAATTATGGTTTTTTTTCTATGGCAGAACTTTTTTTTTTAATTTTTGAAGTCTGGTATTTTTTTTTTAGCTTTTTTCAGAGGAAGCGCTTGTTTTTTCACATAACTCTAGTATCTTACGTCTGGTTGTAAAAAACTTTGCTATTTTGAAAAGATAATCACAAAGTGTTTGGGCTTAACTTCTAGCTGTTTCAATTATCTTTTGAAAATAGCAAAGTTCTTTACAACCAGACGTAAATACTAGAGTTATGTGAAAAAAAAGCGCTACCTCTGAAAAAAGCTTAAAAAAAATACCAGTTTTCAAAAATTCTTTAAAAAAAATTCTGCCATAGAAAAAAAACGGGCGGGGGGCCTACCCGCCCGATCTTGCGTTTTTTCCCGCGGTGAGCTCCCCGCAGGGGGGGGGGGGGCGCGCGGGCCGGGGGGGGGGGGGGGGGCGACGGGGGGCCCGCCTACAGCCCAGACGGCGGGGCGCGCGGCGGGGGGGGGCCCGAGGGTAAAAAACATCAAACCATTTCTAAGCCCCAAATCTTTAAGAAAAAGTTCGTTTTGTTCCTTGAGGAAAAATCGTGTTGACTAGTGTAATCATAGTTTTCAAAACATCAAAAAAAAAAGATAATAATAATAATAAAATCAGTTTGGCTTTTGGAGTCCCAGCTGGCTTCTCAAGCTGACAAAACGAACCGCAGGCAATGGTTTAGTAAATATGTCCGCTAGCTGCTTATCTGTGGGTATAAATTGAACTTTTATTAATTTATTCTCAATCTGTTTTCTGGAAAAATGATATTTTATATCGATATGTTTAGATCGATTGTGACATGAGGGACTGTTAGCTATGCTTATACAACCCTGATTATCTTCATACAATGTAATAGGCTTATCTAATTCAATATAAATACTTTTTAATAGGGATTTTAGCAATAAAGCTTCTTTTACGACTTCAAACAAAGCCATATATTCTGCTTCAGTGGATGAGGCTGCAACTGAATTCTGTTTTCTAGTGTTCCAACACATTGTATTATTTTCAAACATTTTGAATACAAATGCTGTAGTACTTCTTCTAATATCCTCACATCCACCCCAATCAGAGTCAATATAATTAGTTAATAAATTTTCGTAATTTTGTTTTTGAATGAATGTTAGTCTTAGGTCAATAGTTCCTTTGAGATATCTCAAAACTCTCTTTATAGACTGACACAACTCTGCATTATTTTTATGACTGTATCGACTCAAAATATTGACACCAGTACCCAAATCAGGTCTTGTACATACCATGATGTACATTAAACATCCAATCAAGCTACGGCATGGTGCATCACAAACATCATCCGAGTTCAAAGCTTCAAAATCAAGTTTACTTGGCAGTGGTGAGTTTACTGGATTACATTCATCCATCTTAAATCTTTTTAATACATTCTCAATATAGGCAGATTGACTAAAATGTAATTCATTATCCTTCTTGTCTATTTTAATCCCTATAAAGTATGGAATATCTAAGAGATCTGTCATTTTAAACTTTGTCATTAAATAAGATTTAAATCTAGTCATGGTTTCAATATTAGCTGTAGATATTACCAGATCATCTACATATAATAAAAGATATATATTCTTCTGAATATCTTTATTATCAAGTATATAAATATCAACGATCAACAGATGAGTCTACAACGCCAATTTCCCTTAAAACTCTTTCGAACATTTCGGACCAACATCTGGCTGCTTGCTTAAGCCCATAAATGGCTTTATTTAACTTGCAAACGTTACCATCACCACATGACACACCTTGAGGAACTGACATATAAATCTCCTCCTTTAACGTACCATTCAAAAAGGCAGTTTTTACATCCATGTGATGAATATGCAGATCAAACTGATTTGAAAAAGACGTTAAAATTCGACAACTCGAAATTCTCGCTATTGGAGCCAAAGACTCACCATAATCAATTAAATACTCTTGAGTAAACCCTCGAGCAACCAGTCTAGCTTTATATTTTACTGGCTTACCGAACTCATTATGTTTAATCGTAAAGACCCATCTGCAATCAACTATATTTTTGGCCAACAGGCATGGGTACAAGGGACCAAGTATTATTTAAATGATGAGACTTAATTTCTTCATCGATTGCTTCTTCCCACTGTACTCTATCTTCTCTTGTCTAAATATCCTCAAACGAATTTGGAATGCTATTAATAAGAGTATGCATTCATTACACAATTATTGATTCAATCTTTGAATGATATTGGTGTCCTCTGCTTTATTCTTTCGCTTTTTCGTATTTCAGCCTGTGGACTTATATGTTTATTTTCGACTTTTGAAACATTATTTACATCAGATTCAGAATCAATATTTAAATTTAAATCAATATCAACGAACATATTACTTCTTTTCATTTCTATAAACTTCCCTTTGCTTATGTGTCCTAGTCGATACGTATTAATTTTGTTTGAATTCAACATATATGCATGCTTACATACCTTAAAAACAATAATCGGAACATTGTGTTTATATTTACCAGTCAAAACTTTTTGCCTATTCTTATGAACTTTAACACCTCCTGGATGAAATTCAATCGTCATTCCAGCATTTTGCATTCGTTTTACAGACAGCAAATTTTCTGGGCAATAAGCACCTCCTCCAGAGTTATCTCACTGATGAATTCATTCTCGAGTCTCACCATACCTTTCTTTTTGGCATATATAAACTGTCCTTGCTTGGCCACAGCTATTTTTATCGGAGACTCCAGGTCAATATATTCGGTAACAAGCCTTCATCCTTAATGAGGTGGTCCGAAGCTCCAGAATCGAGAAGAAAACTTAAATTTTCTTCTTTCGGACGAACTGGTTCACGTCGGAACATGAACGCGATTCGCTGCTCTGGCTAAGCTACTACCAAATGCGCTTGTTTATCATTTTCACTATTTTTATAATTCTGAGATCTTTTGTAATTAAAACAGTTCTTTTTAAAGCGACCAGGCTTGCCACAATAATGGCGTTTAAAATTTTCGTAGTGTTTTGGTTTGTAATTTATGTTGTTTACTTTATTGAATTTATTGTATTTTTTTTTTATTTTATTGTATTTATCGTTATAAATTTTATTATCTTTGGTTTCGTTTATTTTCACATTTGGGTGGTTATACGACCTGCAACGCTTTTGAACTAGTGTCTGTACACATTCCTTTTAGCTTCACTTCGTGATCCAGCAATCTGTGCTTCACAAATGCCAGCGTTAAATTGTCTTCTGACAGGGTCTCGATGGCCGTGATAGCGCCATCGTACACCGATAGAAAAAAGCCCTGAAATTTTAATATTTTCTATTAGATTTTAATATTTATGCCATTGATTTCATCCAAGAACGGTTGTATTAAAATTGAATATTTTTCACTTAAATTTTGATATTAATATGGAAATATTTAAATTTAATATGTTTCATATATAAATTTAATATTTTTCATTTTTAAATTTAATATATTTCATACTTAAATTTAATATGTTTCATATCTAAATTTAATATGGTTCATATTGAATAAATTGAATAAAGTTTATATTTGAATTAAATAGTTTACATATTTAATTTAAATATATTTGATATTTTAATCAAATATTTTACATATTAAAATTGAATATATTTCATATTTAATTTAAATATTATTCATATTTAATATCAATATGATTCATATTTAATTTCAATATGATTCATATTTATTATATGTTTTCATACATCCTAAATGTTTTTCCCACAAAAATAAAAATTTTCCATTGTACGTTTTATATTTGTTTAATTATTTATTACATATATGTACATGAGAATCTTAAAATTTATTCATAGGGTGTTATAAATCAAATAGTTTTTAGAGTTGCTTTGAGTATATAAATGCATTGGATATGTTGTAAATTATGCAATATTAACGATTAGATTAGAATTAGATTTGGGATCTCTTATTTCGTAAGCTTGATAATGTGGGTCATATTTATAAATATCCATTTCGAACAAATCACAAATATTTCGTCATTTTCAGAAAAATATAAGATTGATTTAAATACCTTTAATATGGTGTTCATTTTACATGCTAAAAAATAATCTTTCTTGTATATAGTCCCTTTATATTCAATTTTCTCACTTATATCAATTTTGTCATTTTTAATTTTATGATCTACAGTGTTCAAACATTCGATGGTGCTTACAGCAACACTTTTAAAATCGTATTTATCACATATTGGAGGTATACCATTTTCATTTAACATTAAGAAGTTCGAATACTTTGGAGAAGATTTGATTGACAATGATCGTGCTGGATTAATTCTACAGGTTATTGAGTTCATATAAGACTTAGCTTCTTTGTTTCTTGTTTTTTATAAGTAAAACTCTCACCAAATCTGGAGCTTAGCTTTCTGCATTTTTTGGCCATTGTTTTAGAAATTCTGTAGTGTCCCAATTCTGTAAGTTCTTACGACGCAAATCAAATGTTTGTGACCATTTTTCAACGACTACATTCCAATCTGAAATTAAAAATTTAAAAAAAAATAAATTAAATTAAAAAGAACGAACAATTAAAATTAAATACAAAAATATGGATAAAACAAATAATTTTATAAGCACTTACCATTAAACCAGCTGAAAACGAGTTCGAAGGAGAACTTTTTTCAATCCAAGATACAACTTTTGAATTAGCGGACAATGTTTCGTCGTCAAAATTAAACTGAAGTACAAATAAGGAAAATAAATTAGCAAATTATAATTACTTATGTACATATATTATATTATAATATAATATGTACACAAAAAAATAAGTGTACATACCTCTTTCTTTTTCCAAGTGAATAATTTCACTCTAAATTCAGCCCTAAAACCAATATTGGGGATAGCATCACGAATATCATCAGCTGAGATATATTTTAAACTTCGATACGTTATTCCAGTTTCTAAATTTTTTAAAATATACAAAACGTTTTTAATTCCAAATTGTACATGTGTTCACACTGTCAGCCAAACATTAAGTCATGTCACTGCCTATTGCCAAAACTATATAATACCAAGATATTTCAACCGGATTAAATTCAAATTCAGTTTACAGTGGCTGTGAGTCTTTGTCTTTGACGAGGAGCCGCAAAAAAGGAAAAACAACTACATACAGACTTCATATTTTCTTGGTGTGTTGGTGCGGGTCGAGGCATTGACGAAGCCGAAAGCAGAGGCAAAGGCTAGCCTAAAAGAGAATGGAAGAAATACCCCGCGCGCCCGACGCAACATCAGCTTTTCAAAACAAAACGAAAAAATATTTTATGAACGGCTTCGTCAATGCCTCGACCCGACCCGCGTCGAGTCGAGCGACAGAACACACCAAGAAAATATGAAGTCTTACGACGGGAATAGGTCCAGGGCCGGATTAGCAGTTGCCTAGGGCCCTCCTAGAAATAACAGAAAAATGTTGTTGAAAAAACAAAACTCCAAATAATGAATAAAAAATATAATAGCCACTGAGAAAAATACAAAATAAAGGAGGGCCCCAGATTGATGGTTGCCCAGGGCCCGGTTGAGGGTTGATCCGGCCCTGAATAGGTCGCTACATCACATCAGCCCTCAAAACAAAACGAAAAACCAATTCAAGCGGCCAACAATTGTAGAGCCCACACACAAGCACGTATGTGTGAATACATGGCACACACACGTTTACGTAAACTGAAACTCAAACAAAGTCGGTTTCGGCAGCTAAAAATTATTCTATGCATCAATCATATATTTTGGAGTGTACACGTACACAACACATGCATGCTTGCTGCCAGTCGGCTCGTGTGACGTCATGAGCCGAACGCGGCCATTCCCAAAGCCGAAGATCTGGGAACGTTCGCTGCAAGCTCAGCTGCGCCCCTTTCGTTGTATGAACTGGCACATCTATATACTGTATGGTTAGTGTTAGTGACCAATAAAATTGGTAATAAAATTGCAAAACCCAACTTATTAAATATATCAGAAAAACTTATTTCCTTACGTAAAAATATACCCAGAGAGTTATCCGACTTCAGGTGAATAGGGCGCCATGGCACCTCAGGCGTCCGATTGAAATGACGCTGAAGCATGCGTTGGATTTCGGCCAGCTCCCTCTGGATGCGTTCTTGATGCTCCCTGGCGCCGGCGTAGTCCTGATTTATTGGTGGAAAAACGTGATTCTCCCAAGCATGGGGTCGAAACTTGTAATTATACGTCTGGTCCAGCGCGGTATCCACGATGTGATGCTTTACCAAGTTTTTACGCAAGTGGGTCACGTCCCACAGCACTGGGTATGCCTGCGCGGCATGTGCCTTTGCCAAGAGGTTGGCAGGGCACCTGTCCGAGATCACTGCCAGTAGCATCCCCGTCCCTCGATCATCGATAACACCGTTTGGAGGCCCTCATAGATGGCCTGGCTTCCCAACACGTTCTGATCCACCGAAACCGTCTTCAAGTGGAGGAAATGGAAGTTCCCTCCTTTTAAGTTGAAGGCGGCAACGACCAGCACCTTCCAACGGTAAAAGAGGAATCGGGGGTTGGGCAAAAACGGGATATGAATCTCGTCATATACAACGACGAATTGTTCGTCGTTGTCGAAATGGTCCAAGTTGCCGGAAAGGTCCACAACTCCAAGTATCAGATGCGGCGATCGCAAGACCTGGTATTAGCTTCCAGAATCACTGCAGGGTTCACGCCGGGACGGTGCGGTCCGAAAATTCGTATAGCGTCCATAGTGGGCTTGTAAGAAAAAGAAAAAGAGCTCTGGTGTTTCTCTTTTTATATGATGCCTAGATCTCAGAGACTATAAGAGCTTGAGCAAATTTTGTGTGCGACTTCTGATATATTCAACCAACTATACAATAGTCGAGTCGAGTCGAGCGACAGAACACACCAAGAAAATATGAAGTCTTACGACGGGAATAGGTCCAGGGCCGGATTAGCAGTTGCCTAGGGCCCCCTAGAAATAACAGAAAAATGTTGTTGAAAAAACAAAACTCCAAATAATGAATAAAAAATATAATAGCCACTGAGAAAAATACAAAATAAAGGAGGGCCCCAGATTGATGGTTGCCCAGGGCCCGGTTGAGGGTTGATCCGGCTCTGAATAGGTCGCTACATCACTTCAGCCCTCAAAACAAATCGAAAAACCAATTCAAGCGGCCAACAATTGTAGAGCCCACACACAAGCACAGTATGTGTGAATACATGGCACACACACATTAACGTAACCTGGAAACGAAATTCAAAACAAACTCAAAACGGTTTCGGAAAATAAGAATTGATACAAAATTTTGTCGTGTCTGCTTACACACATACATTTGCAATTCTCAGCTTGCTTTCGCTTCCCGACATGAGTCATACATGTCATACGGCCCAGCTCCCGACCCGAATGGCCTGGCTCCCGACCCGAATGTCTCAGCCTCACAGAGCCGAAGCGCTGGGAGCCGGGACAGAACACTCATCTTTCGCCCCTTTCGTTGTATGAACTGGCACATCTATATACTGTATGGTTAGTGGTACGGGTATAAGCGTCCCCAGAAGCGACTCGCACGTTCCTTCTCGTTTTCACATAACTCTAGTATCTTACGTCTGGTTGGAAAGAACTTTGCTATTTGGGAGGGTTTTCGGCGGATACCAGAATCTGTCCAGCAGCGGTCCTAGTATCAAGGCGATTTCCTTAACGGCAATCACAATTAAATGCAGGGATAGTTCCATTACAGCTTACAGCACGGCAGGCATAACTACAGCGCAAAATTACGCTGGTACAGGCCCCTTCCTCGTCAATATTGCACATACATTTTTTTTTATATGTCGACTTAAATTTGAGATTTATTTATATTATAAATATTTGCTTCAGCGAGTAATTGCTGAAAATTTTGAAGTGTTCATTAATAAAATAAGAATGGGCCGAAACCGGCCTAGGTGTGTCGGGTCTCTGACGATCCCGACAGCCGCCCCAACCTTACCTAACCTAATAAAATAAGGGCCAAAATGCGGGTACCGTAATACAATTGGTTTCTTTTTAACTCAGACATGTCAAATGGCAGAGATGTTGCGTATGCTATTATATTGGCCATGTGTGTCGCCAGCAATCGGCCCATCATCTCAAATTTACTGGAATAAATACGGTTCATTTTTAAGGATTGTCTGCCTGAACTCGGAAAGTATTTTTGTATCATATTGTATATGCCATCCACCTCCTTCTTATTGTTTCGGCTGGTCGGCGTTCCTTTGAATATATCTGTCCAGTTGCTTTCTGTGAAACTCATCTCGTACAGTTTTTGTACAGTAACATCCGAGCTGAGTATAGGTGTCGGAACATTCCGCTGATGGAAGACATCCCATATCACAGGGAATTTTTTGGAAGCAGCCACGTGCAGGGCTTCAAAATTTTATTTGGCCATCAAATTTTCAGATTCCCAGCTTTGATGGACGTTTCTGATTCTATAAATATAAATTGGGATCTGTTAAATACAAAATGAATTGATTTTTTTTAAATTTGATATCAAAATAATTGTAATGAAAACTACCTTGTTACTTAAATAAAACAAATAAAAGTAAATTTTGCAAAACTTTCTATGACACTACTATTATTTTGTATATAAGAGCGAGATTGTTTTACTTACCACACGGATATAAATATATCGGAAATTGCTTCCGTCCATGTTTATTGCAGCAAATGCCAGCGCCCTCAATTTCATTCCTCCTTCATCACTGGGTGTCCTAAGGTAGTGCTGAAAATATTTAAAAAATAAAAATTTGAATTATATATTTAAATATACACTTACCATATGCGGTAGATGGTATTCGTCAAAATAAATAGCGAGGGGTTCATTAACAAACTGGTTAACGATGACAGTAAGTTTATTTTTCCATTCTTTATCTAATCGAAATGTGATGGGCGCTCCAAAAATTTTATTATTCCTACACCAATGCTTTTATCGAACGTTGCAAATAAATACAACATGTGATCAGCAATAATGGGTTCACTATCAGTATCATCTTCTGTGTCTGTCCAGTAGGTGTCTATTGGAATATGGTGTGTCCTTCAGGAAGGGACAGGATCTGGCAGCCATATTGAGTGGCTGCTGTTGTTGAATTGGCAACTTCCAAACTTCCAAAACAGCCGCTCGATTCTGCATAAAAATATGGATGTAACTCGGAAGCACCGAGGATTCAACTAACAACATTCAAACAGCCACCTGTTGGTTGCGGGGACTCCGAAGTGTGCGTGCTTCCTATGCTGGGTTTGATGATGGGCTCCCCATGCAAATTTCCATACTTCTCTTCGTCGGACTCCAATTCCTCCAAACAGGCACCCAGAAGATCCTCAAAGGGCACGGAGTCTGCGACACTTAGAGACGACATAGATGTTTCCTAATCATTGCTCGTCCTGGCGCGCTTGCGCTCCACTGCACAGTGGACGGTATTGTATGGAATCAGCGGCCAAAAATAGTTCCACTGCCTACATCAAAGTTAAATTTTTGTCTTAGCTTTTTAAAACTATCTGAGCTCAAAAGTAATCGGTTAAGCAAGTTCTCATTTGTAGCGACCCGTGAAATCTTTCTGTATGATGGAGTCGAAACATCTTGATGACTTTATTTCTTGACTATGCAGCTTCATCAGAAAGCTCTCCAAAACTTATGAATATTCAATAACATCCGGCGCGTGAATTAAAATTTTATGGGCTGGCGGAGGAAGATAGTACCAGAAATACTTGGATGTTAGTCCTCTTGCAGTAACTAATGAAAATTTTCTACATTTATTTTGTACTCTGATGATAGGGCTTGCAGTAATGTTGTACAATTCTCAATTAAATGCTTTTCTATGCCGGTTATTTCAGCATATAAATGGGGATCATTACAAAATTTTCTTGCAGTGTTTCCATCATTTGAAGATCCGCTACCACCTGTTCTTGGTTTGTCAACTATTAGACC